AAATTTTGGAATCGAGTTTGTGAGGGCTGATCGCCACCCATCCGGTGACACACCATGCACATCGACTCAGTTGAGAGGGCATGGTCTGTCAACGGGGGGGGGCGACCATATATATATATATATATGTATGTATGTATGCATATAGCACACTTATCATTCAAGGGAGTTTTCGAAGAGTGCGCATGTCACCTCCAAAGCTACAGCCCTCGAAAGCCTTCTTTGGTTAGTCCTTGCGAACCGCAAGAGAAGTTGTGCTCTGTCATGCCCTGGATGCCATGAAGTGCCTTGCCACCGAGGCTGGAACCACGTGAGGTGGGAGCAAAGCACTGCCATTGCCTCTAGGTTTCAGCCGCTTTCTCTCGAGCAGCCGAGAGCAGGTTTGTGCCTCTCGCATGAAAAGCTTCTGCCAGGTTTGCGGATGTCTCGGAATGCTTGCAACTCCAGCTGCGAAGTGATTGCTTCCGCTTGCCTTTCAATCAGCTTTAGGGCTGTAGGGCTTCATGGGGTGGGCTATGCCATGGAGAGCGAAGGCCTCACGACATGGGGTCGACATGTCTGTCTGTTTGAGTGTTTGTCGCCTGACAATTGCCCGCCTTCTCGTGCTAGGAGGCCAACCTCCTGGAATGGAGCCTGCTTCACTACACAAGGCAAGATGTGACAACACAGAAGGTATAAGCAGTCATCGTCAAACTGCCGGCAAAACCTGCCATGAAGCGACATCAACCGAAGGTTAGGATTCATGATAACAACCAGATGGGGCGTGAGAAACTATCCCCCGCTGAGGCTTCTCGATGTTTGGCAGAGCTCCTCCAGTCAGACGAGGGGCAGGTGCTCTTGGGGTAAGGCTCGCTGAGGACTTGAGAGTTGTGGCGGAGTTGTAAACTTGTGAGTTCAGGCCCTGTTGTGGGTATCATCTTTCTCCCATAACTGATACTGGAAATATTTTTTCTGTCAATCCCGAGCTCGTTTTGATCTGTCCGTTGGCAGACGATGATAACACTCACGGATGAGGAGAATGATCCTGATCCCAGATTCAGATCAAGTAATGTAACTTCGTTGCATCCTTTTTCGCCCTGACTGCTAAGACCTCCACTTTGCTGTATTTTGCTGTATCTCCAAATCCCTAGACTGGCAGGCTGTTTACACAGAGGTACTCAGGTTGTCGGTATGGACATGTCTTGTCTGTCCAAGGTCATGAGTAATTGCCACCGCATTCATTCGAGGCCTGCGGCTGCAACCCAACAGTTTCGGAACGAAGATGAACGAAGATGTCTGCTCTACGCTACTCGCCCCGTTTGTCTGTGGCATACTCAAGCGGCTGTGAGAGGCGTCGGCGAGAAAGAACCCACCCGGGCGGAACAGCTTCAGGATGCTTGAGTTGTTACTTTTGCTCGATTTCCTAGGTGCAGTTCCTTGTCAAGTTCCTGACACAGAGAGGGAGAAGTGCAGCATCCGAGATGAGGTCAGAAACGTGTGTCATCGCAAGTACGGCTGCTCACACGAAGCTCGCTGGGACAGGAATCGATTGGCAAAGGACCAACCTGTTCAAGCCCGTGGCTACCATTTCAAGAAGGAGGTAGCCCAGTGCAGTGGACTGCCGTGTCCTGTGTCCAGTCTCGTACATGTGGCGAGGTGATTGCAGAGGCTCTGCACCGTTGGCAAGAGAAGGAGGGACAGAGGCACCCATAAGCGTTTTTTTTTTCCAGCAGCGCGAATGGTAGTGGACCTTTTCTGCAAGGACAGCGAAGCTGACCGTGCCCAAGACTCCTGCCAGCTGGACAGGCGGCGAAGGCATGGCAGCACAGACTCGCAACTGATGCTGCATCTCACGGAGTTACTTTTGCTGAAACCGCAGCAGGCGATGGGAAACCACGCTTGCTTCGCAGGCCTTCCGATTCAGCGTCCGTGCACTCTCTCTGCGTGTGTGTCATCCCTGTACCAGAGGGCTAGCGCGAATTGCATGTGTCGTGCTACACTTGAAGAAAGCAGGGTGGCTGGACATGTGCATTGGTGGAAGACCAACGAAGTATGTTTTCGGGAGACGTCCTGAGAACATACCTGCCTTTTAACTTTTTATAGTGAGACAGAGAGATAGCTTAAAATGAGATACTCCAGTTGGCGGTCATCCAACATCGTCGTTTTGTGAGCACTTCTTGGATGCTTCGTGATCACGTGTCAGTCCGTGAACGGTTCCGCGTGCAGATGTCAATTGACCTTGAATCAGTAGCTCAGCCGATGAGCCTGCAGTCCGCTTGTGATGAAAACGACCATGGATAATGGGACAAAGGCATCGCAGAGTACAGGCATCATCACGCCGGCCGATTCTGGTTCATCATTTATCTTATGGTGACTTCATCATATATCTTGAACACGCCCCTTATTTGGCGACTCCGGTTCATCATATGATCTCTAACAAGCCCCCCTCATTTGGCGATTCCTGTTGATCATAATATATCTTATAAACACGCCCCCACATTCAGCGATCCCGGTTCATCATTGTTATATAATCTTAACACGCCCCCTCATTTGGCGATTTTGGTTCATCATGTATTTCGAACACGCCCCCGCGTTTGGCGATTCCAGTTCATCATAGATCTTTTACACGCCCCCTGTCCGAGTTGTGAGAGCATAAACACCCCCACTCATTTGGGGGTTCAGCATATATCTTACACACGCCCCCTCATTTGGCGATGTTCATCATATATCTTGAACGCGCCCCTCATTTGGCGGAAAACGGTTCATCACATATCTTAAACAGGCCCCTTCATTTGGCGAAAAACGGTCATCAAATATTGAAAAACTGCCGCGGCTCGGGCGTCCTGTGCCGCGCCACGGAAACCTCAAAAAAAACCTGTCTCTGAAAGAGCTCCCGGAACCAACTTCCACAAACTCAGACTGAGATCAAACGTGCTGGGCCGTTTTGCCGCTGCGTGGAGACGGATGCTCGGAGAGCCCGCGTGACGAAGCCTTGGTCGATTCAGACATCGCACCTGCCATGTGCATCCCGGACGAACTTTGACTGAAAAAGCTCCTTTTTGCTCAGTCTCCAGGTCTTACACTCTAAACCCCAGAACCTTCCTTAGCTCTAAATCCCCGGGCCCTAGGCGCGAAAATCAGTTTGGGGTTGATGGCGTCCCAGCTTCGTTTTGCCAAGCGGGTAAACCTGGGTTTCGGCTTCAGGACCGGTGTAGGGGCCTGAACAATTAGAACAGGGTCGTGGCATGTATTCCACCTTAACTACGGCTAAAGGCTTGAGGGCTTAAGTTTTAGGGTTTACTGTTTAGCTTGAACCGAAAATGGTGGGCGGTTGATCACTCTTCTCCGTGTGTGTGTGTGTGTTTGTGTGTTGGGTTTTTGTTTTTGCCCGCAGGCTGCAGGTCGGCAGGAAGGAGGTGGACACGCCCAAGCAGGCAGATATGGTACATGAGGTCAATGTCACGTCCAGGCCAAGTGATGCGAGAAGGCTGTGGTGTTGAAATTTGCTGCAGGCGCCGGTGGAGCAATGCAGGCCCGCTTCGGGGAATCTGTTTCCCAGCACCTATGCGCTAGCATCAGAGGCGTGCACAAACACGTCAGCCCAAACGAGTCAGGCTTTTCAGAGAGGCCGTCTTGCAAGTGATTCATGCAGACTGAGGCATGATTGCGCCAAGTACATAATTTGAAATCGTGCAAAATGCAAAGTCGCCAGGGAGTGTTAGACACCAAATGAGGTGTTTAGGTTCCCCATGGCTCTGGCGAATGCTTCCCAGTGCGGCAGCCGCATCCACTGCGACAGCGGCTGCGATTGGAAAGCGTCGCCGCAGCGATGCTCGCTGTGCTGAGAGGGAGGCGTGCTGTCATCTCATTGCGGTTTCGAGACGGGTCGTACATGAAACTTGTCGGGCTGCAGGCTGCCCGTGTGGATCACTCCCTGACAAAGGACATTTGTCAAGTGTGCTTGCCTTGTCGAAACTGACCCCAGAAAGTCCTGTGCAAGGAAGTTGCTTCAACGCGTTGGTTGAAGTTGCAGACTTTGACATACCGAGCCATGTCGAAAGATGCAGAGAGCATGCAGTGATGAAGCTTTGGTTAAGAGCATGCATAGCCCGATCCACGAGGAGACGAAACAGGCCGACATCGGCGATGGGACAGCGTCTCCAGGACAACGCGGCGTGCTATGGCGACGGGCGCGACGGATGTAGATGCCGTGGCAATCCTTGCATTGCTGCGGTCCTCGTTGAACCCTGGGCGAGCTGAAACACTGCTGGTTCAACAGGCTTCAACAACCTAAGCTATTATTATCAGCTCCGCCTGTCTTGTGGTCGTGAGTTCGAAGCAATTGATCTGAAATCTGCAACTGTTCATGGTGACCTCGTTCTCGCAGTTTCGCCCGCCCGTGGACTGTCCCACCATCGAGCTCCCAGCTGGCCTAGTGGACGAGGGCGAGACAGTCGAGGAGGTGCGGCTATCATCCAAAACCTAGGAATGTGGAAGCTTTTTTGTTGCCGTTAAGAAGCAGTGTTGGTGCCTGTACTGTGCAGGCAGCCCTGCGAGAGCTCAAAGAGGAAACTGGCTACATCGGTACGGTCGCCGAATGCTCGGGGGTTCTGACAATGTCCCCAGGGCTTTGTGATGAGATGATACGGCTCGTGGTCGTCGAGGTAGACCTAGATCGACCGGACACTTGGCTTCACTCAACTGCCCAGTTGTCAGCATGGCCCTTTCTTTCTCTTGGGATCTTGCAGTGTAAGACTGTAAGGAAAATCAATCGCCAGAGCAGCAGTTGGAGGAAACAGAGCGGATAGCGGTGCGGCGCGTACCCCTAGATCAACTTCTGCAAGAGCTCGAGGCATTAACCCGAGAAGGATGCATGCCGATCGCAGGCCGGCAAATTGCGAACGGTTGTATAATCGCTACGAAACAGAAGTTTCAGAAGACGCGGGCTGTCACCTTTATGCACCAAGTCAGGCTTACACTTCTTGGCCGTGGGCTTGCGCCTTGGCCTTCTGCAACGCTTCTTCTCCGAGCCGCTGCCTCCCGGTCCTGGTGCTGGCGGTGGACATATGCACCTTTGCCGAAGAGCCGGAGAGTGGAGTGGAGGCAGTGGAGGTCGAAGGTCCTTTTGTTTTCCTGCCCCCTCCCTTGTTTCTCAAGGTCATCCGGACCATGAGGATCCTGCTCCTCGAGGAAAAAGATGGAAAAAAGGAGTCACTGCATCTGAACCTAAAGGGCCGAAGCTCCAGTCTGAGCGGGGCGGCAGTTGAGGCTGTTATGCGGGCTTTGGTCGTCTTGTGCTGGCAGGGAAGCAGAAGGAGAGGCTGGAGCCACGCTAACGAGGCCAATTCCCCCTGTCTTTGCAGAAAGCTGAAGGTCTTGAGGCTTTAGCGAACGGAAGTGTCTCTTTGTCTCTTTGTGCTTGTGCTTGTGCATGCCAGGGCCTGGCTTGAGATGGCCCAGGCCCGCGGACTCCTCAGTGCGATGCGAGTCGCGGCGCAAGCCAGATCGCTTGCTCCAGACAACAGCACCTGCCGGCAGCCAAATCAGACCGTTTCACATTTATCAGTGCCCTGTTGCAACCCTGTGAAAAGTGCAGCGCTCCACAAGATGGTTTGATGATAGTTACAACTCTCAAACACAATGATTCGTCTAGGCTTTTCAAAGGCATCCGATTGCTAGCTCTTCGCAATGGACGGGGATGCGAAGCGGGCTTCGGACGGTGCGGACGGCGGGGTTCCGAACCCCAAGCGCCCCAGGAGTCTGCCCAGGGCTAAGACTCACGAGGAGGAGCTGGATGATCTCATTGCAAGTGGGCTTCTGGATGAGCCATCCGATCCACCTGAGGAGATTGCCCGACAGACTTTTGCAGATAACTTCTCCTCCAAGGGCTTTCGAGTTCAAGAGGAAGACCTGCCGAAACTTCTGGCAGAGGTCATGGAAAAGGGTCCAGAATGGGGTGGCACACGGTACTGGCGATGCGCAGCCCTCTTTGTCGGCTGCATGGCGAGATCCACAAGGTCATGCCGCATTGCATTCGTGGCACACCCGAAAGGTTTAAGTTTGCTGGGCCTCGTGCTGAAAGAGGCGGTCTCACGCTTGGAGGCGCCAGGCTCACATCATGAAGCGAGCATGCTCGCGCTGGCATGCCTTACATGCCTGAAGGCTTTGCCCTTAGGGCGTGCCTCGCTGTGGGAACACCGGCAGGCTATTGGCAAGCCTTTCGACCAGCTGCACAAGTGGTGCGCCAAAGACCGCAGCGCCATCGCGGCCGAACTTCGGGGTCCGACTCTCGAGCTGTGCCAGCGCTGGAAGCGGCAGCCGAAACCGGCAGCCCAAGAGCAAACCCACAAGGCCTTGCGGGGAAAGGTCCTTGAGCTTATCTCCAGCGGTCTTCATGGCCGCGGCACCTCACCGTCGGCCTCGCCGGCTCCAATGAGCTCACCTGCGCAGCTGCCCGGAAATCTGGTGGCCGCCGAGGTGGAGAGTGCTTTGTGGGGCCGTTACGGTACGAACAAGACGGCAGAGTACCGTCACCATGCTCGGATGCTGCGGGCCAACCTGGCTTTGCCCGGGAACGGGGAGCTTCGTGCAAGGGTGTTGGCGGGAGATCTCAAGGCGGAGGACTTGGTATCTATGGACTCAGGTGCCCTTGCGCCGGACGAGATCCAAAGGCAGCGCCGGGAAGTTCAACTTAGGGCCATGAAGGAAGCTGTTGTCGAGGACCTTCAGCCTGTAAGGCCAGAGGATGGAGAGGGCTCACCTTTCGATCCAGGTGCAGATCTGAACACTGCACCACTGGTTTGGCGCAGCCCGACGAAGGATACCAAGCAAGAGAGCCAAGAAAGCCAGGGCGATCAAGAGGAGGGAGCCACGGGTTTGCCCATGGTCCCGCCCCCCACACCTTTCCGACTCTCCGTGGCTACGCCAACTATGGAACCAGCGACATCAGACATGCCCGAAATGCTCGCCACCCCAGGCCCAGATGACGAAGACGATGACCTGATGGCAGTCTTGCGGTTCCTGGCCTCCTCACCATGACAATGTGAAAGATTCGGAAAACATCTTGCGGGGGGGGGGGGGGGGGGGTCGGTGATGTGTGAAGCTTGATGTAGACGCCGGTTCGTAGCGCTTTGCTGATTCCAGTTCTGCCTCAAGGCCGCAAGCAAACCAGCCGGACCATGCGTCGAGGGCTGAGGATGTCCGACGTATGCCGTGCAGCTACATGTTCAGGACTGTCGTTTAGAGGGAGAAGACTCCACACATGTCTATACTGAAAGCACCAACATTGCTTGCCGATGCTGTGGTCTGTTCGCTGCTGCCAAGTTTGCATCGAGATCGGATTGCCTAGCTTTGGCAAATGTGTGATTTAATGTCAGTTTCGACTTAGCAGATGGCCTCCTTCGGTAGAGGTCGTGGATATGCTGGTGGTGGCGGCTTTAACTCCTTCTCGGGCGTGCGGCTGAGAGCAAGCAATCGTGGGAGGTTAGACGCAGAGCCGGCAGACTTGGATGTGGACTTCAGTTCATCCCTTGAGGCAGGCGCGTGCCAAAAGTGCCAAAATATGAGAATCACTTGCAAGCGTTTTGGAGGTCTTGCGCAGGTAGGATTAGGACTCACCCTCGCCAGGTCGATCTTGGTGCAGGTTTAGGCACCGGCGTCCAACGCGACTCCTTCGGCTTCACGTCCCAGTCGGGAAATGCGAGGTCACGAGGTCTGAAGGCCGCCAGCTTCCAGCATGTACCAACCACAGCAAGTGCCAGGCCAGGCAGTGTGCTACAGGGCTTGGAACAGATGCCCTTCGACCATCAGATCAGAGCGATGCGCTGGAGGGGGGATGGTGTGTGCTGCTTTATCTTGGCAGGGAGTGGCGGGATCGATGCTTTTCGAGCATCTCGAGTGTTGCCGCATTTGCTGCACTTGAGCACACTCAGCAGCGGACACCTGTCGCAGGCAGATCTAAGTGGATTTCGGGCCTGTGTGCTCCTAGCTGACCTTATGGATTGGCCGGCCAGCGAAGAGAACGCACCAGACCTTGTGGCCGCATGCAAAGAACTAGCATCAAATGGTTCTGCAGTTGCCGTAGTTGCAGTTTTCCTGTCCCCCATCCCGGGCGGACCCGACAGGGATGCAGCATCCACTGCTGCGTTGCAGAATGCCGTGCTTGGAGCCGGTGCAGACTGTGTCTTATTCTCATGCCCCACGCATCCGGTGACTTTTCGGCACTTGCAAACAGCCATTCAGGGCACAGAGGCCTGGCACGAAAGGATCGCAGAAGCGATTGAGAGTGCCCAGGCCAAGTTGGCCAGGGCCCAGGAGCAGCGCTGGCAGAGGCACTACCAGATCGCACTTCGCAAGATTGTGTGGAAGGCACCCCAGACGGTGTTTCCACACATCCCTCAGGAGGATGCGGACCTGCAGGAGCGTGAAGATGGTGTTGGAGACTGCTCCTTCGTTCGCGTGATCGGGTCTGGCGCCTTTGGCAGCGTCTTTCTCGGGCGACATCCTAGGCTCGGTGATGTCGCCGTGAAGGCCATCAAAAAAGCGTCCATCAAGAACATCTTTGACCTCGCCAAGGTGGAGCGGGAGCTGAGCATCCTCATGGGAGTGCTTGACCATCCCAACGTGCTGCAGATTCTCTCGTGTCTGCACAGCACGCACCGTGGCTGACCAGACATGTCTGCATCTGGCCAGTCACGGCTAGTCAGCTAGTCACTGACTGAACTAGCAAGTCAGTTAGGTGGGTTTGGGCATGTATGGAGTCTCTCGTGGTGAGTAGGTATACTGAAGTAAATGGGTAAGCAACCTATCAAGCAAGCTCTGCACACCTGCCGGGAGCTTGTGGATTCCGAAACCCAAATTATTCGCACAAACCAGGCTGTCCTCGGACAGCGCCGGCCCCCATCCCACAATTGCTGATCCACCTAGTCCTTGGCAATGTTCTCGATGCCGAAGATCAAGCCCAACTGCAGCAGTTAGGGAAATCGGGTTCACAGGGGACGGTTGCCCGCAGGAAGAACGTCTACGAATCGTTGAGAGACAAACATGCGAGCAAGAACAAACCCAAGTCAAAAGCAACGCTTAAAAACCCGGATGCTAAAAATAAGCTTTAACCGCACACTGCCGGATTGCCAGTCTTCTGCCTTGCCGGGGAGCATGCTTGTCTCGACTCTGGCATGAGGTCCCGTAGAAGCAGCACCTCTATGTGAGGCAGCAGTTCCTGCAGGCTACAAAACAACACAACAATACGGCTCACGCCGAAGGTCAAACTTGCGTCAGCGCCACGTCCTCGACCGGGGAAATTGCTCCAGCGACAAGGCAATTTCTCCTGATGTTTCGATCTGAGCATTTGCGGTCAAGTCTTTAGCTGTCGTCATCCCCACAAACGGAATCACGTCGAACGGCGTACTGGGCACGCCATTCGTTCTATGCACGGATTCTGGAAAGATGAACATTACCTTTCGTGCACATAGCAGGCGTGATGTGCCGGCAAAATCACGCAGGTTCGGGCCATGGACGACAAACCCGATCTGCAAAGAAATGAAGCGAAGAAATGCTCGAGTACTTGAGCAGACCAGCCAACAATCAAGCAGGGCGAGTAGGTGAGCATGTATGTGACGAAGCCTATAATATTCAGCAAGCCGGTGCGTCCGATGCTTGTGGAATTGGCGGGTTGGAGTTGTTTTTACAGAGACTGTCTTCCTTGTGCCTGAAGTTTTAGATGCGCCCAAGCAGAGGAACAACTTGTACATTGTCATGGAGTTCCTCGGGGAGTACACTCTCCACACTTATTTACAGCTTCGGCAATCAGGATCTGCCCGCAATGTGGTAATGCTACCGTTTCAGGAGGTGCGGCTAATTTCAGAGAGTCGTGTTTAGGCGTGTTTGTGTTATACAGGAAACGAAGGGTTGCCGCACTGGTGCCGCAGGTGCAGAGCATTTTCGGTGACATCCTGAAAGCCATTGCTCATTGTCATGCCGCTCATGTGTGCCACCGAGACCTGAAATTCAAGAACATGATGATCGATGCAAATAGCCGTGTAACCATGGTGGACTTCGGACTCGCAGTGCAAGTTGCACCCGGGCAAGAGCTGCATGACTCCTGTGGCACAGTGCCTTTTGCCGCGCCAGAGGCCGCAGTTTCTTTGCGTTTTTCGTTCTGTATGTTCCACACGAGAGATCGACGTGCAGGTCATGTTGTGCAGCCCGACCAAAGGCTACGACGGCACTGTTGCGGATACCTGGAGCTCCGACTGACTCACAGCAACAGATCAAACCTCCCAAGCCCATCCGGTCAAGTATTCTTTAAGCTGTGAGTTCGAAGCAGTCCATGGGTGGGGGTCGGTGGGCAGGTGAGGGGAAGAGAGACTGAAGCCAAAGACCTGGCGTAGATGCAGGAAGACAAGCAAAGTCATGATTTGGCCAAGTACTGATTCATCCTTCCCAACGCCTTGACGATTATGCTGCCAGTATCAGAATCCTGTAAATGACGTAACTCAAATACCCCGCACGAGCCTCTATGCGGGGCACTGGCCGTTACACTTTCCGAGCTCCAATCCGCACTTCAGTCATGAAGGCTCTAGAGACTCTAAAGGAAGGGTGAGACTTCGAGATTGGGGGATGCCCAAACTCGTAGGAACTTCCACCGGGCTGGGGGCAGCGGGACCACCGGGTCTGGGGAGGGACATCGCCCATAAACAAATCCAAGCTGTCCAGCGCAGAACACCGGAACCATGCGCAGGAGCATCGCGGTGTGCCTGGTGGAGCTACTCTGTGGCTTGGGAACGGTGGAAAGCAGCTTGGAGAAAGGCATTGTCTGTTCGTTCATAGGCAGTTTGGGAGTCTAAGGTTCGGCAGCCTGCACATGTTCTTTTATGCCCCCCAGTTCTGCCCAAGGCATCATTGGTCTCACGGCAGACGACGAGGCCAACTTTGAGCATATCGCTCAACAATGCCTTCTCCTCTGCACTGATTACGTGCATCAGCTGGTCTTATCATACGCCGGCAAGGATGTACAAGGTGTGCATCGGAATGACCTGGTCAAGACCATGCGCGGCACCTTTCGGGAGAACCCTAAGTCAAGAATGTCCGTACGGGACATTGGTGCTTTGGAAGCGTTCTCTGCGAAGGCAGGTCCACTTCCCAAGGCAAAGAAAGGCCGGGCTGAGAACGACGACGATGAGCGATCCTCTTGGACTCAGTCCCAGTACTCTTACCCAAAGAGTGGGGGCAGCGGCGAGGGCGACGAGACATTGTCAGACCTGCGCCTTTTTTTATGTTATGGTTCAACATCTGATGTGCCGTGTTTGCCTCACCCCGAGCCCGAGCCGTACAGAGCCAAGGTCTGTTCAGGACTGGATCGGTGCCGAGGCCGACCAGGGCATCCGACCGGTGCAGCCCCTCTTGGAACGAATAGGCCAGGCCTGCGTTTGTCAAGTGTTTTGGATGAAAGCATCTGTTCTCGAGTTGTTCCCGAGGTGGCTCTCAAACGGTGGTGAAGGTCGTGAGCACTGTCTACGACTGGCTGTTGCCCCGTCCGGAATTCGGGAAATTTTTCCTGGCGTGCCCACTGATGCCTGGCATGCAAGTTCCCTGATCTCAGAGACGTTCGGGCAGTGAGGCACGTGCATGAAGAAGGAACCTGCAGAATCTCAGGAAGATGGGAAGAATACGAGCCGGAATCAGTGTCCAAGCTGAAAGGAGCTGCTGTTTTCCCGAAGCTATCTTTCAGGGCATCCGCAAAGTGTCGGCCTGCTTGCCTAGCTTCAAGACGAATCGCTGCCTACTGGCAGTGTCAAACCCGGTAGTCCCTATCGAAAGATCTTTGTGATGATGAACCCTGCTGGTAGCAGTTTCATCATGTTCAACTAACTGTCTAGGACTCTAGGATAAGGCCGCCGCATGCTAGGGCCAGCCAAGTTCAGTGGAGTTCTGATCTTTGCTTGGTTGACTGGGCCACGCGGCTAGTGTCCTGATGTGTTTCGGGGTAAACTTTGTGCTCACTGCAGAAACTGCTGTTCGTTGGCAGTGGTTGAGCGTGG